TAGGTAAATGGTTGAATTATGTTGTGGTTTGGTTTATAGTTAGTGGATGTGTGTTGGTTATGTTCTCTCACAGGTTCTGACTTGCCATCATGATCAATGCTTATGATATTTTATTTATTTAAAGTTGAGATTTTTGGGAAGTGATGTGTTCTAAATCTAAATTGATTAATTTGGTTTTCTATAAATTTAAACTCGGCTTCAATTTTTAAGTATAATTGAATTGGTTTATGATCACGCCATTTTTTTAAGAAAAAAAAGAGGGGCGTGATAGTGATAATGTCATTTAGGTGCTTAATAGGAATATTTTAGGTAATTAGAATTTGTCTTAATATTTTAATATTTTATAATAAGATTAGTAATTGTCCGTACCTGAAGGCATTATATTACTCAATAATATTTTTAAAAATTTTCAAAAAATTTCTTCTTCAAACATTTCAGCATAGCATTGAAGCTACAAAGAACATCCATGCATTGACGGACAATTACCATTTGCTTTAGTTCACTGACAACAACCCTTCTATAAATGTTTAAATTTCAACTTTCAAACAATTTTAGTTCCCAATTTTAATTCTTCGAGTTTCAATTCTCAAATATACTATAAAAAATTTACTTATTAGGAATAACAAAATGACATACAAATCCTTGAAAGCATACATGTTAGCCAGTCAATTAAACGTATATATTTTGTTCTCTTTAAAACAACGCTACAGTCATGAATCAATATCTGTATAAAACATTAAATACTAAACTTAAACTAATAAAAATTCACTACTTCTATATAATACAAAAAATCATAAAACTAAATTCATTATGGCTCATGGGTACCTAAAAAATAAACTAACTTATCTCTTTCAACAACTGAAAAATAAAAAGTGTCATAAAATGAATGATTAAATTAATGAATAATCACATACAAAATTAATTGATTTCACGGGAGAAGGTATGTATAGTCAACGGAGTAAAAACTTGGCTAAAAATAAATCAAACCCATATATGAAAAATATAAGAAATATAAATGCCAAACAACAAACAAAACCTAATACAAAATTGTTGTCCTTAATATATAAGCAATCGATGCAAAAAAAATTTTTGGTCATACAAAATGTTAAAAAACAACATGTGAAGCAAGCATTGAAATTATAAGTATATATGAATGTGCAAATTATAAGTATATTTGAATTATGAAAGAAATGAAAACGTTAGATTAAGCAACTACACCTTAAAATGTAGAAAAATCAAGGAAGTCAAGAAAAAGGTTTTCAAGCATTAACAAAAAACATAGTCAACTTTTCAAATGTCATAGCCATCAAGCAAAAACAGAAAACGTAGTCAAGAAAAGTGCCCAATTTCCCATTTATATAGATGAGACGATGCAAAAAATGCCAAAAATAATTTCAACTCTAAAAATAAGCAAAAATAATTCCAAAATTCAACTCTATAAATGTCTTGCCTGAAGACACCATTTAAAAAAAAAGTCAAATGATTTTCCATCTTAGAGAAAGTTTTTAGTTCATCAGATCGACAATCTTGAAATAATCTGAGGCGTTCTAACTATTTTATAAGTTTGATGGTTTGAAACTCTTTGTACTTTACTATATCTTCGTAACATTTATATGACAATCAACCATATCATAACAATAAGCCCAAGCAGTAGTAGCACACAACATTCATACCAGAACATATTTTATACCTGCTATTATTTTTTTTTATTTTGGCATACAAATTTAATAAAATAAAATTTAGTAATAAATATTTCACATTGATGAGTCATTTAGAAAACAGAGAGCTCAAAAGAGATAGAGATGGGTCATTCAAAATTGGAGAGCTCTTAAAAGCAATTAAAGTTAAGCAATGTCCAAAGCAATTAATAGTCTCTCTCCAATCAAGCCACCTAAGGAACCCAAACACAATAATAAATTTTAGTTTTGTTATTACATCACACAAACCAAATTTACCCTGACTTGAATGAAATTTTGTTCACAACAAAATCAATAACCCAAACCCAAATATTACATGTAATAGCGACACGAATCACAGAAATGACATAAAAAATGGTGAACAAAATTATACTTTACCACTAACGATGAACGAACAGTCCTGGGGCTTTTTACTTCTAAGTAATTGCGAAATTGCTTTAAAAACATAAAACAAAAGAAAACTTCAGAACTCAAAATACCAAATCACAATAAATAAAATAAAATTTCAATATTCAAAATTATTGGTATGTTTTTTCTGACTGTGTGGCGGTGTTAAAAAATAGACATGTCACATTTTTGTTGAACAAAAAAAAAAGAATGGTGCCAAAAAATAATTTTTTGATACAGAAGTAATTCAAAGAGATAGAGAGAGAGATCTAATAAAGTTGGGTGACGGTCGTATATGTGTGAGAGAGAGGTAGAAGAGAGATGGAACTCTAGTGTTGGAAATGTAACAAAACTCTTAATCCAATTCGTGGGCGGGAAAAAAAATTGGAAATCAATTAAAATTGTCAGATCAACAATCTTGAAATAATCTGAGACATTCCAACGATTTTATAAGTTTAAGAATTTGAAATTTTTTGTATTTTATTATATTAATAGATAGGATCAAAAAACTCAAACCGACTATGACCACTTTTCAAAATCTCAAAACTCTAACATTTCACAAACTTAATTATTTGAATATTCATTTGTCATTTGTCATTTGTCATTTGTCAAATGAATATTTTACCATATGTTGGAATAGATTTGAGGGGACCATTGGGAGACTTCATTGGTAGTCGGAATTGACATATACTCATATTTTTGACTTTTTTATAGTCTTTTCTATTTTAAATATGAAGCTCATACTTATCCAGGTCACGAGGAACTTATCTCTCGTGAAATTTTTAGTTTTAGTGTGACATCTTTGACTAGATAGGAAGGACATTATTCGATATGTGCATAAATTAGGTCAGATACCCTTAATCATAATACCAAAAAAAAAAAAAAAACAAGTTCATAGGTATCTCATTGAGAACAATATTTTACAAATACTATCAAAATTTTCTTAGAATACACATTAATAAAAGTTTGTAAAAATTATAGATTTTCAATAGGTAGAAAATTAACAAGCATTAACATGAAGTACTTTAAAAGAAAACTTTAAAACCTGATAAACCCAAATTTAACTGGGCTAGGTCCAATTAATGAGTTAGGCGCTCAAATTAGTTACAAGGCAGGTCAAGCCTAATTCATGGATTCGGCCCAGTCCAGAGTTCAAGGAGTCCATAAGGATTAGAGCACATGGGGAGCAATTATCGAGATACTCACTCTCGAAGATTAAGACAACTTTTAATTGTACTTACCTTTTGTATNAGTCCATAAGGATTAGAGCACATGGGGAGCAATTATCGAGATACTCACTCTCGAAGAATAAGACAACCTTTAATTGTACTTACCTTTTGTATCTCCCTGAAGATCTAGTACCTATACCTATCCTCACTTCACCGCCTCAATTAAGGTTCTGTACCTATCAATTGTAAACTCTCTCTGCATGAGAAGACACCTCTCTACACACTGCACACATAGTTTTTTTCTCTCTTAGCTATTGTATCCCTCTCGGGGCAAACCATTGTTTTCTCTCTCGTTCACCTTACTTTTAATCAATAAAAGGTCTTCCCGGCCATCGTTATCANGTTCTGTACCTATCAATTGTAAACTCTCTCTGCATGAGAAGACACCTCTCTACACACCGCACACATAGTTTTTTTCTCTCTTAGCTATTGTATCCCTCTCCGGGCAAACCATTGTTTTCTCTCTCGTTCACCTTACTTTTAATCAATAAAAGGTCCTCCCGACCATCGTTGTCGTTTTTCGGAGTGGAGTAGGTCACCTGAACTGAACCACTATATATCTGAGTGTTGACCCGATATTTAAATTATTGTCATTGATTACTCTATTAATTACACTTTATTACACACTCGACTGTTGATCTTGTATAAGACAGTTTTGTTCATCATCAGTTTGGAGTCATCTGTGGGAAACGATTAAGTTTTCTACTACCTTACTACTCTCTTTCAAATACATGGCGATCACAACCAGATTGATGAGTTAACAACTAGGGGACAACAACCCGGCCCTCTGAGAGGAGGTTCTGCTTCCGCCCGCACCCACAAATCTATCCATTACGATGACTCCCATAGTTGAGGAATAGCTTTTACAAACCACGCAACTGCTGGTAAACTAAAATCAGCAAATCATCTAGTTGATGCTCATCCAGGGAAGCGTCACCCCTCAGCCTATAGGAGGAGTACCACTCCCTTCAACGAGAGATGCACTGCAACCTCTCCACATTGGGCCCTAAGCCACCCCCACCATGGGGCCCCGCACCAAAACACCCCCAAGTAACACCAGGGTGCCCCCTCGCTCTGGAATCTACACCACCACAGGAGTCTCAGGAGCCGAAATTGCCACAAGAATCTCGGGAGGAAGTATCACGCGCCTCTGCACTCGCTTGGTCAATGCATAATGTCTCCACCCACCATGAGGCAAGCTGAAACATTATCCCAAGAAACCCGACGTCTCGGAGATAGCTCCACAGGCCTCGAGAGACCACACTCTGAGACTAGAGGTGCCTGACTCCTTTATGCCTACTCCATGGGAGCCGTTCGTGCCTTCGCCCACCATTTACTGTACCATGTTGGAGACTATGCGTTGATGGGTCCTCCACCAGCGAGGACGATGACATAGGACTAGTTCTGATCAACCCTCATGGCACTCCACTCAAGTACGCTCTGTCCCTCCACTTTGCAAACATCCAACAAACCAAGCTGAATATGAGGCCCTTAAATCAGGCTTAAAGCTCGCATTGGAGATGGAGACCCTCAGCCTGACAGCCTACAATTACTCACAACTAATAGTCAACCAAGTAAATGGAGGGCTCCCACCGGTGTCCGTACCCAGTGCCCCAGCACCTAGGCCCCCGTGACAACCAACGCCCTAGCGCGTAGCACCAGCGCTAGATAGTGCTAGCGCACTTGCATGTGCAGTTGCGTCACTCAGATTGTTTGCAAGGCATCGGCTAAGGCCATTGCCTACCCAGTGGCATCGTCCACCCCACCTGCTACAAGCATTGCCCAAACAGCTCGACTTCAAGGTGTCACCCGCAATCCTCAGCGTGCACACCAGTGCTAAGCACTTAACACCAGCCAGTGTCTGCGCCTAGCAGACAACATCTAGTGCCTATGCCAAGCGGATAATGCCCAACAGACAACACCCAGCGCCTGTACCCAATGGACAAAGTTCGGTGCCTTTGCCCCATAATCAACATCCAACACCCAACGGACAATGTCCAGCGCCTGTGCCTACGCCAAGCGGACAACGTCCAGCGCCTATGCCCAGCAGACAACGCCCAACACCTGCGCCAAGTGGACAACGCCCAACAGACAATGCCTAGCACCTGCGCCCAGCAAACAAGGTCCAATGTCTGCGCCCAGCGGACAACGCCTACAATCCTCAGCATNCCTATCCTCACTTCACCGCCTCAATTAAGGTTCTGTACCTATCAATTGTAAACTCTCTCTGCATGAGAAGACACCTCTCTACACACCGCACACATAGTTTTTTTCTCTCTTAGCTATTGTATCCCTCTCCGGGCAAACCATTGTTTTCTCTCTCGTTCACCTTACTTTTAATCAATAAAAGGTCCTCCCGACCATCGTTGTCGTTTTTCGGAGTGGAGTAGGTCACCTGAACTGAACCACTATATATCTGAGTGTTGACCCGATATTTAAATTATTGTCATTGATTACTCTATTAATTACACTTTATTACACACTCGACTGTTGATCGTGTATAAGACAGTTTTGTTCATCATCAGTTTGGAGTCATCTGTGGGAAACGATTAAGTTTTCTACTACTTTACTACCCTCTTTCAAATACATGGCGATCACAACCAGATCGATGAGTTAACAACTAGGGGACAACAACCCGGCCCTCCGGGAGGAGGTTCTGCTTCCGCCCGCACCCACAAAACTATCCATTACGACGACTCCCATGGTTGAGGAATAGCTTTTACAGACCATGCAACTGCTCAGCCTATAGGAGGAGTAGCACTCCCTTCAACGAGAGATGCACTACAACCTCTCCACTTTGGGCCCTAAGCCACCCCCACCATGGGGCCCCGCACCAAAACACCCCCAAGTAACACCAGGGTGCCCCCTCGCTCTGGAATCTACACCACCACAGGAGTCTCAGGAGCCGAAATTGCCACAAGAATCTCGGGAGGAAGTATCACGCGCCTCTGCACTCGCCTGGTCAATGCATAATGTCTCCACCCACCATGAGGCAAGCTGAAACATTATCCCAAGAAACCCGACGTCTCGGAGATAGCTCCACAGGCCTCGAGAGACCACACTCTGAGACTAGAGGTGCCTGACTCCTTTATGCCTACTCCATGGGAGCCGTTCGTGCCTTCGCCCACCATTTACTGTACCATGTTGGAGACTATGCGTTGATGGGTCCTCCACCAGCGAGGACGATGACATAGGACTAGTTCTGATCAACCCCCATGGCACTCCACTCAAGTACGCTCTCTCCCTCCACTTTGCAAACATCCAACAAACCAAGCTGAATATGAGGCCCTTAAATCAGGCTTAAAGCTCGCATTGGAGATGGAGACCCTCAGCCTGACAACCTACAATTACTCACAACTAATAGTCAACCAAGTAAATGGAGGGCTCCCACCGGTGTCCGTACCCAGTGCCCCAGCACCTAGGCCCCCGTGAGAACCAACGCCCTAGCGCGTAGCACCAGTGCTAGATAGTGCTAGCGCACTTGCCTGTGCAGTTGCGTCACTCAGATTGTTTGCAAGGCATCGGCTAAGGCCATTGCCTACCCAGTGGCATTGCCCACCCCACCTGCTACAAGCATTGCCCAAACAGCTCGACTTCAAGGTGTCACCCGCAATCCTCAGCGTGCACACCAGTGCTAAGCACTTAACACCAGCCAGTGTCTGCGCCTAGCAGACAACATCTAGTGCCTATGCCAAGCGGATAATGCCCAACAGACAACACCCAGCGCCTGTACCCAATGGACAAAGTTCGGTGCCTTTGCCCCATAATCAACATCCAACACCCAACGGACAATGTCCAGCGCCTGTGCCTACGCCAAGCGGACAACGTCCAGCGCCTATGCCCAGCAGACAACGCCCAACACCTGCACCAAGTGGACAACGCCCAACAGACAATGCCCAGCACCTGCGCCCAGCAAACAAGGTCCAATGTCTGCACCCAGCGGACAACGCCTATAATCCTCAGCATGCACGTCAGCGCTTAGCACCAACTAGTGCCAACACCAACGGTAGCTCCTACCATCCAGCGCCCAACGCCCCAGCTTGCGTTGCCCATGGCCACTACACAGTGGTGTCGCCCTCTGCCTCCAGCCGTGGTGTCGCCAATTAGCCCATGGTGTCTCCTCTTGTAGCCCACATCTTTTGGCGTCATTGCACCTGTACCTAGCACTCCTCAACATCCATGCCTAGCAGTGTCCAATGCTCCTCAACATCCATACCCAATGGCATCCAACATTCCTCAACATCCATGCCTAGCGGCGCCCAGTGGCGTCAAGCACCCCTCGTCGTCCTCGTCCAGCGGCGCCCCATGTCTCAATCTCCAGCTTAACGGCCCTCATGAGAGTCGCCAAAAACTTGGCCTATCTTTATCTCTACTCTCACGCAAACAGCCTATGTCTCCAACTTAGCAGCTCTTTCGTGAGTCGCTAAAAGTTTGATCTATCTCTACTCTACTCTCAAGAAAGTAACCTATATCTCTAGCTTAGCAACCCTCAGGAGAGTTGCCAAAAGCTTGGCCTATCTCTATCTTTGCTCTCACACAAACAACCGGTATCTCTAGCTTAGCGGCTCTCTCAAGAGTCATCAAAAGCTTGGACTATGTTTGCTCTGCTCTTAAGTAGGTAGCCTATATCTCTAACTTAGTGGTTATCACGAGAGTCGTCAAAAGCTTGGCCTATCTCTGCTTTGTTCTGCTCTCACACAGGCAGCCTATATATCCAACTTAGCGGCTCTCAAGAGAGTCACAAAAAGTTTGGCCTATCTCTGATTTTCTTTCATGCATGCAGCTTATATCTCTAGATTAGCGGCTCTCTCGTGAGTCGCTAAAAGTTTAGCCTATCTCTTCTCTGTTCTCAAGTAGACAGCCTATGTCTCCAGCTTATCGGCTCTCTCACGAGTCACCACAAGCTCGACCTAACTCTGTCTCTACTGTCACGCAGGCAGCCTATGTCTCTAGCTTAGCGGCTCTCACTAGAGTCGCCAAAAGCTTGGCCTTATTCTGCCTTTATTCTCACGTAGGCAGCCAATGTCTCCAACTTAGCGGCTCTCTCGCAAGTCGCCATAAGCTCGGCCTAACTCTACCTCTGCTCTCACACAGACATCTTATGTCTCCAGCTTAGTGGCTCTCTCGTGAGTCGCTAAAGTTTGGCCTATCTCTACTCTAGTCTCAAGTAGGCAGCTTATGTCTCTAGCTTAGCGGTTTTCTTGCAAATCGCCAAAAACTTGGTCTATCTCTGTTCTGCTCTCAAGTAGGCAACCTATATCTCTAGCTCAACGACTCTCACTAGAGTTGCTAAAATCTTAGTCTATCTCNCTCTCAAGCAGGCAACCTATATCTCTAGCTCAGCGACTCTCACTAGAGTTGCTAAAATCTTGGTCTATCTCTGTTCTTGTCTCAAGCTGGCAGCCTATATCTCTAGCTTAGCGGCTCTCATGAGAGTCGCCAAAGTTTGGGCTATCTTTGCTCTACTCTCAAGCAAGCAGCTCATGTCTCCAGTATAGTGGCTCTCACCAAAGTCGCCACAAGCTCGGTCTAACTCAGTCTATGCTTATATGCGAATAGCCTTATTCTCTAGAAGCTTGGCTTCGAGGGTTATTGTTCTCTCATGAGCTAACCTCAACTGCAGCCTGGTGCCCAGGTCTCTCTTCCACCAAAGCTCTCGATACCTTGTTGAGTTTGAGTGTCCTCAAAAGTATGGAAAAGTCGCAGCCCATCTGCAAATTTTTGGAGCCAGAATGTCAACATGACCAAGCATACATAAGATAGGGTTTCACATAAAAGTGGGGTACCATAGCAAAGTCCTTTATCTCAGTATCGATGATACCCTCAAGACCCCGAGAGCTGACATCTAAGGGTGTCACAAACCTCCAAAGTCTCTCATTCGCCAAAATTCACATCCTACAGCAGGGACACCAGTCCATTACTAGAAGCATGATAATTATGTGAAGCATTGGGGGCATCAAACCCCATCTTCTAAGAAATAGCAAGACCGTCAAACCTTAGTTGAGAAGCATTGGGGGCATCAGATCTCACCCCCTTCTAGGAGGAGGGGAAGTCACCATCCTAGAGACGTAGAGAGCCTTCGTCGTAAATGATCAACTACGGGATCACCTATGAAAGAGGGAATTTTCATAAACTAAAGACATAATCAATTTGCCTAGGTCCTCCATGGTGTCGCCCGTGGCACCACCTAGTCTTATGACTTCGCTAGTGTTGTCCAGGTTCATACCCATGACGCCACTCACCAAAGCATCTCCATCTCCACGTCTTGAAATGTTCATTCTTCTCTTCATCCTCTCTACAGCAATGTCAGTACTAAATAGAGAAATAAGCTTCAAAAATGCCATCGATGAAAAGCTAAAGAAGCCATATCTATTCTACCAAAAAGAAAAAGCTCACTCATGCCCTCTACCCCCAATCACTACTAGGGCATGGGGCATGGGGGCAAATGACGAGCCCAGATTTAACTAGGCTAGGCTCAAATCAGATACAAGGCGAGTCAAACCCAATTCATGGATTCGGCCTAGTCTAGAGTTCAAGGAGTTCAGAAGGATTAGAGCACGTGGAGAGCAATTATCAGGATACTCACTTTTGAAGATTAAGACAACTTTTAATTATACTTACCTTTTGTAGCTCCCTGAAGATCTAGTACCTTTACCCTCATATCACCTCCTCAACTAAAGCTTTGTGCCTTTAAATGATAAGCACTCTTTACATGAGAGGACACCTCTCTACACACCTTACACATAGTTTTTCTATCTTCTAGCTATTGTATCCCTCCCAGGGCTAACTATTGTTCTCTCTCTCGTTCACCTTACTTAATCAATAAAAGGTCCCCCCAAGCCACCATTGTTGTTTTCCGAAGTGAGTAGTTCACCCTGACTGAACCACACTATATCTAAGTGTTGACCCGATATTTACATTATTGTCATTGATTACTCTATTAATTGTCCATTAATTATATTTTATACACATTCAACTGTTGATCTTGCATAAGACTGTTTTGTGTATCATCAAAACTGACCAAAAAAATATGTTGATATGTGGTTTGATTGCATATGTGATTTGAGTAATGCTATTGGAATATGATAAACTATCATAATATCCCACAAATAATGTCTTTTGTGATATGATAAATAATATAAATGCAAGCACAATTGTTACAATTTTTTGTCGAAATCATGACATCTAACAGATAACTTGTAACACCCCAAATCATGGTACCATATCGGCCACAAATGATGACGAGAAACCAACAACAATTGCATAACTCTGGTACCTTTATATGCATACAAATTATTTTTAAAACCCCACGATTACATCCCAATCGACCCTCTAAACTCGACAATGNTCGGCCACAAATGATGACGAGAAACCAACAACAATTGCATAACTCTGATACCTTTATATGCATACAAATTATTTTTAAAACCCCACGACTCGTCTTTAGTGTTTTTCCTGAAAAGTCATTGAGACTATTAGTGAGAGCAAGGATGCAATCAATAATCATGAGTATGACAAGAGATAAAGAAAATACTTTATTTATTTAGAAACAACCTTAACCATGTTACAATTACCAACATTAAATGGTACACTTCACCACTTACACGTTGTTCGGATACATCACATAGACATAACTTGTATAAATCATATAGGCAAAATTTATAGCTAAAATAGTTACTTTCACACAATTAAATTACGCCACACAACGAATACCCTCACGCATACCCCCGGTCACACATGAAATTCAAGCTACACAAATAATTCTTATCACTTAAACGACATATACCACATAATTAATTCTCATCACTTAGATGACTCAAGTCAGATAGATACTTCTCATTCTTGTCACTTAGACGACTTAAATACGTAATTTAATTCAGTCATGTAGATAGTGTTGTTAATCAACTCGAATCACAACGCTAATTTCGAGCACGTAGATGACTCGTATCAAGGAATTAATTGTTGTCTTATAGGTGACTGACAATCACTTAATTTTTTCTGTCACATAGGCGACATGCAAATACTTAGTAATTCCCATCACATAGATGTCATACAATCACCTAATATTTTCCGTCACGAAGACGATACACAAACTTAGTATTTCTTATCACGTAGACGTCACACAATCACTTAATATTTTCCATCAAGAAGACGACACATAAACTTAATATTTTTTGTCAAGTAGACGTCACACAATCACTTAATATTTGCCATCATGAAGGCAACTCATATGTTTAATTTTTTTTCGTCACGTAGATAACACACAAACTTAGTATTTTTTGTCATGTAGATATCACGCAATCACTTAATATTTTTCGTCACAAAGACGACTCATATACTTAATATTTTCCAGTCACGTAGACATTTCACAGTCACTTAATATTTCCAGTCACGAAGACGATACAAAAACTTAATATTTTTTGTCACGAAGACGATTCATATGACACTTTTATCTTATGGACAACTCATGCATTTATAATATTCCTAATCATTTTGATGACCCATGCTCTCATTGCAACTATCACCATTTTCATGGCTCACACCCACATTATTATCTCATCATAGGAATGCATCATGCTCGCAAATAAATTCAGCTCACAAACAGTTAACTCAAAACGCATGCACAAATATCGTCACACAATTAAACCAAGTCACGAAGCTTACTCCATCATTTAAACCATCTTTGTCTCCTAAATATTACACCACTCAATTATTAAATCTCAAAAAAAATCATAAAATAACCATTTAAACAAAACTTAAATATGTATCAATAAAAAAAAATGTAGGATAGCACACCTACCTTGCATGAGATTCTTCCTCGTAGACGACCCCTCTGTCAGAGCTATGAGTGCGGCATTCTTTGAAATTTTTGCCTCTGGACCTGTCATGCCCAATATCCATAATCCCACTCAAGCATTAATATGTAATAATGGTTTACGAAACTCGAATTTCAATACTCAATTCGAGTCAAATTAATAATTC